CAGGCATTTAAAACACGTGCTCTCTGCTTTCCAAGTATCAATTCCTAAGGTTCTGGCCGTGCCAAAGCAAACCCCGGCACATGCCGTTTCACCAGCATTTCACACCCCTCATTTGGCAACTGCAGAGTTGCACTTGGGCAATCAGTGCTCCACTACTGGTGGTCACCAGAGCTGTGGTATCGAAATCAACCCTGCTCTGCAGCAAAGAGCCAAACTGCTCAGGCAAATACACCCAAGTGGTTCCTCGGAGGTGATCCAGGAATCCAAGATCTGGATGCAGCCCTGATAATGAGCTTATGCTGCTTGGAAATTGTGCTTTGTGAAATACAGTGACAACAAGTTCTGGCTCCTTAACTACTAGAAAGAGTAAGAGTTCAGCATCTGGTGCCAGTGATTTTATTTTCTAGGGCAAAGTGACCACTACATCTAGTAAAGAAGTGCAGTAAAGTCATGCAGCAACTATGAGCAACTTAAAATCTTCCTTTGGTCTGAGGAAAAAGCTCATCTGCCACACCACATACGGACTCCACCTCTGGGAAACCAGATGCTGCTCCATCATTAACTCTGGACTCACCGGGATTAGGAAACAATTCCAGAGTAATTCTGTCCTTCTTAGATTTACAGAACAATTAAGGTTGGAAAAGACCTCCAAGATCAACCTGTGCTCAGTGCCCACCTCGTCCCCCAGCCCAGGGCACTGAGTGCCATGTACAGTCCTTCCTTGGACACCTCCAGGGCTGGGGACTCCAAACCTCCCTGGGCAGCCCCTGCCAAGGCCTGACCACCCTTTCTAGAGAGAAATTCTTCCCGATGTCCAACCTGACCTCCTCCGGTACAGCTGGAGGCCGTTCCCTCTCCTCCTGTCCCTTGTTCCCTGGGAGCAGACCCCTACCTGGCTCCACCCCTGCCTTGGTCATCTGCATAAGCCTCATTAGATAAACACATCATTACCCCAGTGGTAAACCCAGTAACTCTGGCAAAACAAGAGAAAACTAATTTAATTTACACAGTTTAGTTTGAGAAGCAATGGAGATGAACACCTGCACAACACTCCACAGAAGTATTCAGTGATACATCCCAAGGAAGTTACCCATTACTGCCATCAGGCATTTAACTGTCAATTTTATAGAAACATTAAAATTCTACATTTCTTTTCAATTTTAAGAGAACAACAAAGACCATGGCTGCTGGCAGCTGGCACACACTTCAATATTGTGCAAACATTAATCCATCTCATTCTCTAATTCAGCCAGTGACCTTAATACCAGTGCAGATCCTAATCATCTGGCTCTGTGAGTGCAGCTGGCATTCATTTAGCTTGACACAAGACCTACCCAATAAATAATAGTAAAAAACCCTCTTAGACAATGCTTGAAAATGCTTAACCCCAACTGCAATCTATTTATCTGCTAGGTTTTATCTTCATAACAACCTCTGGGCAACACTCACAACAGTTGCAAGGGCTAAACAAGTCCTAGCCCGTTTTCAGTCCATGAAAAAAGGGACTCTGCAGTGTTGAAAAAGACTCTTCCAACTCTTCTCATGCCAAAACCTTCAGCTACCAAACAGGGAACCCCACAGGACCAGTTCCAATACATTTGCATCTTACTGCTCCAATTCCGTGTGCTCCAAGTCTGTGCCCACTCATCCACATGAGTGCACAGCAAGCTTCCTGGGCTGCCCTGGGAATGCCAGGAGCACAGCAGTGACCAGGGCAGAGAGGAGATGACACAGAACTAACAGGAATTATCTCAAGTGAAGCTTTGCAAGGGAAGGCTGGAGGCCTCCAACAGAGATCACTCGGCAGCTTCCCCCTGCTTCCCACAGCTCTGAGCTGCAGAGCATTTGAGATAAGAGCTTAAAACCAACTCCTCTAAAACCTCAGAGGAAAAAAACCTCAAAAGAGGAGTTTATCATATGATGATGATACTCTTTTGGTAGTCAACAGTTCTGATACCCAGATCTGCTTAGTATATCCTAAAGAAGGGTTATTAAAACAAACTTATCTCAAAACAAAAGCAACAACTGAGAACCAGTGAAAAACAAACTATTTTAACACACCCCACCAGCCCAAAGACATCCTCCTCCTCCTCTTCTTCCAGAGCACCAAGAGTTCCTCTCACCATGAAAGAATCACAAAGACTTCGAGGAGAAAACAGTCTAGATGAGGAACAGCAATTCCCTTGATGAGTTCTCCTAAATAGTTTAAGGCAAAAATCTTCTCTGACTTGAATTATATGGAAATTTCTCTTTTTGCCTTTGGGGATAATGGCGACGGATACAGAAAAACTTTTTTCATTCAAATAGATGAATCCCTTGCTTCCCCTTGCAAAGCTTTTGGGAACTGCTGCTTGCAAAGGACCCAAGACAACAATGCCAGAGCAAACGGGCTTTGCAAGTGGAAAAGGAAAATGTCTGATGACCAGAGGTGGTTTACTAGACAGTATGAGGAATAATTCCACCCCAAATCAACCTTCACCCACTTTACAGTCCAAGTCAAATTCAGTAACATCAAAAACATGTAGGTTTAAAAATTCTTACTCACCTGCTTAAAAACTCCAAAACTTCAGCTTGTTCAAAAGTATATTGCACCTGACTGGGGTAGTTATTCCCTTTTCAGGAAGTATCACACAAACAGATACTGCAACATCTGGGTGAATATTTCAAGTTGAAAAGGCAACAAGCTACATTTTTTAAAACTTCTGCTTTCTCTGCAGACTTTGGGTAGGTTTTATATGGAAAGTACAAACTCAAGTAACTCGTGCACAGCACCAAACATGCAGAATACCAACAGCAGAAGGGAAATAAGTTCAGAATCACTGATGGTTTTGGTGGGAAGAAACCTTAAAACTCACTTCATCCCACCCCCTGCTACGGGCAGGGACACCTTCCACTAGCCCAAGTTGCTCCAAGTCCCATCTAACCTGGCCTTGAACTCTTCTAGGGATGGCGCAGCCACAGCTTCTCTGGGCAACCTGTGCCAGGGCCTCACCAGCTAAGGGGGAGCTTCAAGTAACAAATCTTTTTCCATCTGGTTACACAGGTGAAACTGTTCAACATGATGAAGGTAACCAGGTTCCACCTGTGTGCCTGTGATTAGCTAATTAAACTTTTTTCTTAAGACATAATAGGAGAAATTAAATTAGTTTAAGGTTGGCTTTGTGAGGGTCACCAACGAGCAGCAGCTGGAACTGTGTACAGGCGTTTTTCTAAACTGTGATTTTCTGCAGAAAAAGAGAAGGAAGCAGAGCAGCCAGGCCTGCTAACCCAGAACACAAGCCTGCAACACTGCTGTCACCCTGCAGCCACACTGCTGGTCCCAGCAGGCATTTTCTGGAACACAAGCCTCAAAGCTTCCTTGCACCAGACAAATTTGGTACTGCCATGTACAGAAAGAACCTCTCAGGCCCATCTTACTGCTGCGTACCAACAGTTACTGATTAACTGAACCCTCCTCCCAGGCCGAGAGGACTGGGGGATCCTGTGTGAGTACCTGACCTGGTGCTCTTGGAGGAGAGGAACAGTCTGAGTTGGCACAGGACAGGCATAAGGAGTCCTGTGAAGTAATTCTCTGTTGTGGTTACCTTGAACTTTACCCAAAGTCAGACCACAATTTCCGTCAAGATTATTATAAGCCCACATGAATGCCTCTGCATCAATAAAACCTTCCAGTCCTCAGTTACCAGGGCTAAATATTTGGCTCTGCTCCTTGTGCCTCAAACTCCGGGCACGCTCCACTCGCAGCGGGAGCCCTGGATCTGTCAGGGGCTGGCTTTTGCTTCCCCCAGTAAACCACCTGGGCCCAGCTCCACACCATCCTCGGCTGTACCTGTGCCTTCAGGAAAGCTTAATCTTTCTAATTGAGAACTGTATTTTTAGAAAAGCAGCGACTTACAGATCATTTGCCACCTGATAAGCGCTGGGTGCTCAAAGGCGACTGTAATTGCCAGTTAAACGTTTCATCACAGATGGCTATTAAAGATTTGAAAGCACAGCTACAAGAAAGCGCTGAAAGTCTCTCACTGAAGCTCCACAACCAGCATTTCTGGTTTGACACGTCCCAGTCAGCGATACCGTGATCCTTCCACATCCTTACAGAAAGCAGCTCGTCAGCTCTTCACTTCCAGCGCACAGTAAGGTTATTTTTCAAGTTTTTCTTGTGTCTGAGGGATTCACGAACCCTAGAATTCCCAACCTGATTCCCACCTCACACTAGCAATGCTTTGGCTAGTCAAAGATCAGTTCACAGCTACATAAGATAAATAAAAAAATAACTCCAAGACCGTGGTTTCTAGGTTTTTGTGCTTTTTCAAAAATATCAAACTCAGTTTAAGCTCTTTTGCTACAATAAAGGTTTACAATTCGTAAGACATTTACACCAGTAGTCACTTACTTCTCCAGCAGGCACATTTCAGACCAACATAACCCATTTTTTGTATTACAGAAGTCTTTCCAAAAGGAGAAGGTCCCAGTGCTGCGCTGCACTGGGCCACCCAGTGACCTATATATACAGCAGCACTGGAGTTCAGCTTCTATTCTGTAATTAAGAGAGCTACACTTGTCTCACTCAGCTGTCCTGGAACACACACTCAATAACCCAGAGAGGGATTTTTGGTCCAGGAGGCTCACACAGCCTGATTTGCCCTCAGCAGAGCTGTGCTACCATGCACTCCAAAACACATTGTGCCCATAAAGCCATAGAATCATGGAATGTTTTGGGTGGGAAGGAACCTGAAAGCGCATCCCATTCCACCCTCTGCCATGAGCAAGGACACCTTCCACTAGCCCAGGTTGCTCCAAGTCCCATCCAACCTGGCCTTGGACACTTCCAGGGATCCAGGGGCAGCCACAGCTTCTCTGGGCAACCTGTGCCAGGGCCTCCCCAGCCTCACATACCCTAGTGCAGCATCTCCCTCCTTCTCCCCTCACATCACGGCTCCTTGACCCCATCACCCACTCCCCGAGCTGCCCAACCACCCAGGTGAGACAGGGATGGGCACCTTTGTGGGGGGACCCGTTGATGCTCTCGGAGCTGGACTGCATGTCCATGGCGGCTCTCCTGAGGCTGCTAAAGTAAGCCCTGGACCTGGAGAAGCTGCTGCGGGGGGAGCGGCCGTGGGGGCTGCCGAAGAGCGCGGCGGGGCCGTCCCTGCGGGCGAAGATGCCGCTGAAGAAGCGCAGGAGCCGGTGCTCGGTGCCGGCGGCCGGGCCCTCCCGGCCCAGGCGCTCCGAGAGCCGCTGCAGGTCGCTGTTATCCAGGGTCCGGTTCTTGCTCTTGCTGCGCTCCCAGCGCTCCAGCCGGGACAGCGGGTCCGCCTGGCTCAGCACCTCGCCCACGTCCAGCGTGTTGCGCTTCTCGGGGGGCTCTGCGGGCAGCGCGGCGGGCGGGGAGGGCGGCGGCGGCCCGGGCAGGCTCCCGGAGCTGCTGTGCCGCCGCACCCGGGCCGGCTCCCCCGCGCCGCTCCAGTGCCTGAAGCTGAAGCTCCGCCGCAGCAGCCCCGGCTGCCGCCGCGGGCTGTGCCCCCGCTCCCCCGGCGCCTTCTCCCCGGGCCGCCCGTCCTTCTCGCCCTCCTCCTCCTGCTGCTGCTGCTGCCCGCCGGGGGATGCGGCCGCGGCTGCTCCGGGCGCGGCGCTGCCCCGCGGGCCCCCGGGCACAGGCGGCCCCCCGGGCACAGGCGGCCCCCCGGGCACGGGCGGCCCCGCTCTCCGCGGCACCTTGAGCCGGCCCAGCTCCAGCTGCCCCGTGCTCAGCGTCCGGAAGGTGCGGAAGCCGCAGGGGCTCGGGACCCTGTCTCGCTCCTCGCCGCCCTCCTCCTCCTCGTCCTCCTCCTCCTCCAGCAGCAGCAGCCCGGCCCTGGTGAGGCTGGAGGAGCCGGGCGGGCGGCTCCTCCCGCGCCGGGGCAGCTCGGGGCCGGCGCGGCCGCTCTCCGGCCCCAGCAGCTCCTTCTTCACCATGGTCACGGAGATGCGGTACACCGTCTTCCTCTGCGGGGTGCCCCGCTGCATCCTCTCGGGGGAGGAGGCGGCGGCCGGCGGCTCGCTGCTGTCCAGGAGGTACATGGCTCTGCCCTTCAGGCAGCGGCGGCCACCGCGGGCATCACCGCAGGGATGGATGGGCGGACGGATGGATGAATGGAGGGGCGGATGGATGGAGAGACGCGGGCGGCTGGGAACGCCGAGCCACCAACCACTGCAACCCGATTAAAAAATAATAAAATAAATAAATAAAAGACGCTCCGGTGTCACACCCCGCTCTGCGGCGAGGTCAGGCCGGGCCCCGGCTGCGCTCCCCGCCGGCCGGCGCCCCTGGCAGCGCCCTCCTGGGCACGGCTCCCATCCAGGCGCGCATCCTCCGCCCGTGGGTCCCGGCTCGGCGCTCACGGCACGGGAGCCGCCGCCGCCGCCGCCGAGCTCATTGTTTACGGCGCGGCGGCTCGGCTGCGGATCTCGCCTCCTGCTTCCCGCCGCTCCGCCGGGTAAATCCGATTCCCATGGACGCCGTTCCCAGCAGCCCGGGCCGGGCGGGCAGGTCCGCTCGCAGCGGTGCCGGCGGTGCCCGAGCGCCCGGCGCACTCCCCGGGGCGGCCAGCGCGGATCCGCTCGGCTCAGCTCGGCTCGGCGGGGCTCGGCTCGGCCGCGCCAGCCGGGACCGCCCAAGCGCCGGACTGGAGTCCCGCCCGCCGGGAGCGGGAGGAGGGCGCGCTCCCGGCACCGGGAAAAGGCGCTCGCGGAGTCCCTCTGCTGCATCCACCGGCTGAGGGGCAGCGCTGGGGCTGCACCTCACCCTGCCCGGCAGCACCTCATTCTGCCCGGTAGCAGCACCAGGAGCCCAGCCACAGAATCAGTACGGGTCCCCACAGAAGGGACCTCTGGAGATCATCAATGCCCCTGCCAAGGCAGGGGCACCTGGAGCAGGTGGCACTGGAGCATGTCCAGGTGGGTTTGGGATGTCTCCAGAGAGGAGACTCCACACTCTCCCCGGGAAGCTGTTCCAGGGCTCTGCCACCTCCATGGAAAGAAGTTCTTCCTCATGTTGAGGTGGAACTTGGTGTGTTTTACTTTATGGCCACTGCTCCTCATCCTATCACTGGGCCACACAGAAGAGTCTGGCACCATCCTCTGACCTCTCTGAGATATTTATATGCACTAACGAGATCCAGGATTGATCCAGACCCACAAACGGGCAAAGCACACAGTGCCCATCAACTCAGACCAACCTGGGGTTTGAGGCTCAGATTCTGCATGCAGGATGAACTGAGGTCACACTCCCTCCTTAAAAATAGTCAAAATTACCCAGAATTGATTCATTTTTTGGTCTGTGACCATCCTTAACAAATGTTTTCATCACAAACACCTTGCACAATTAAAATGCCACATTAGTACATGGTTAGTCATGCAAAAACGAACCTGCTGTACCCTTCCCAAGCAGTGGTTTCATCAGAACCTGGCTCTTGTACACAGCTGGAAGAGGCTGTGACACACACTCCTATCACACCCAGCTTGCCAGTTCTCTACAGGCCAGTTCCAGGGATGCTGAGGTAGTGATCAACCAGTAAATGTCCACTAAAATAAAGTCATTTGTAAGCCAGGATGGCAGACAGAAGTCAAGCAACATTAGGAATACGGTTTGTAGTTTCCATGCGTAACATCCTTTTAAAAGTCAAGCTTCAAAAACTCCCTTCAGCTGCCTTGCACATCCCTTCCAAGCCTACAGTCAAACACCCTCCACCAGTGCCAGTGAGGGCCAAAAGCAATAAAGGGGTAAAAAGGAAGGAAAGCACTGCCAAGGCCACCACTAACCTGTGGCCCCAAGTGCCACATCTACATGTTTGACTCCACCACTGCCCTGGGCAGCTGTGCCAGGGACTGACCAGCCCTCCAGAGAAGAACAGCTCCAGACCATGAGCTGGGCAGGACATGCCCTCAGGAGCATTTCCAGGTGGGAGGTTGTACTCTCACAGGAAGGATGTTCTGTGTGCCAGCCCCTACACATGGTTAGCTGATGACACTGGATTCCCATGACACACACCACTATTCCATTACCAGTTGGAACACCGGGAATTCCCAATTTAACTCATTCCTTCAGATGACAGATGCTGTTGTCTTTAACATTGACTAATTAACATTGATTATTCATCATTACTCTATTTGTCATGGAATAGATTTGTACATGTATCTCCAGCAGATACCTGACCAAGGCCAGCTCTGGAGAGAAAGTCTTAAGAACACAGAGCTTGGAACAACCTGGTCTAGTGGAAGGTGTCCTTGCCTATGGCAGGGGAATGGAATGACATGATCTTCAATGTCCCTTCCAACCCAAATCAGTCTGGGATTCTAGAAGGTCTCACTTGACCATCCTGAAAATAGCTTTCAGTTCTTTCTAAACGCTTGTTTGCTATCACAGAACGTTAGCAGATTTTTCCATTCCTCTCACATGCAAAAGGCCATTTCCAATAGGTATTTCCAAAGGGGAGGCAGGGGGGAAAGGGAGGGCGGGAGGGAAGATTTGTTATTAAAAAAGGGTCTAATGAGGATAACAGGAATAACAATGTTTTCCTAAGAGTCAAATCCGCAAACCCAGCAGCCCTCAGCCCCCGCAGGCAGGGCGGTGCGCGGGCTCGCCGATCGCATCCCGCATCGGGATCCAGGCCGCGCTTTCCAGCGCGCCGCGCGGGGAGCGCAGGCTCCTCACCCGGAGCGGGATCAACCATTTTTCATCCTCCCGGGATGACAGACCCCTCCAGAGGAGCCACTTTTAAGCGCAGACAAATCGCCGGCACATTCCTCCAGCCCTCTCTGGAGCATCCCACCCCCTTGCCCGCATCCCGCCCCGCTCACGCCGCGCTGAGAGCGCGGACACCCGGCACCGCCTCCAGATGCTGCAGCAGCTCTCCTGCGGGGAGCAAGGCGGGCTCCGAGGTCGCTATGCTGCTACTCAGCACAGCTCTCCACCCTGCAACTTCTTCCAGGGCTTCTTGTGAAGGGGACTGGTTGTAGTGCAGCCGCTTGTGCTCCCGGTCCAAAGACCATCATCCCCTGGTGGTCCAAAGGCCATCCCTCTTCACTCCTGGACAGAGGAGCTACACCAACCCTAAGAAACCTGCCGTTCGTTGTTCATATAACCCCGGCTTATCTCGGAGCAGGGACAGAACTCCTAGAGTAAGGGATGTGATGTTTAGTGTTCCGTCAGAGCTCCCAGATGCCCGTGGAATTCCTGAGCTGCCGGGGCTGTGCCCGCAGCCCAGGGCAACATCGCTCGGCTGCGCCCACCCCGGCCGGGCAGGGATCCAAGGATCCAGCAGCTCCCTCCGGCCCGCCCGCTCCTCCCGTCCTGCAATTAGCACAGATCCGCTCCCAGAACAGGAGAAGTCCCTCAGGCCCTGGGACAAGAGCAGCCAGAAGCCACGGCAGCCAACCCAAACAAGCCCTTTGGCTCCAAGCCCACGCCGTGTGTCCTGAAGGGCCCTCGGCAGCGGCTCCCGCTCACCTTTCACTCCGCAGGCACTGGAGGCAGAGCAGGACACCCGTGCACAATAAATACGGGGCCCTGAAAGGCTCTGGCACAGTTTATACCCTCCACTCATCCCCCCCACCTCCAAAACTGCTCAGTGCTCTATGACTTCTGCCAGGTGCATGAAATGCCCCCTAAGTATTTTCCTTGAGAAAATCTTACTGTTCCTCCGAGACAGCCACACTGTAAAGTGGAACCATGGAAATCCTCCATCCACGTGGCCATTAAAGGGTCAGACTTGCCACTTTTTACTCCACTGCTGAGGTCAAGCCTATTTACACTACTTGGAAGACCTTCATCAGCAACAAACCAGACCCCAGTGCATCTCTAGAGGCAGAGTAAAGCCAATTCAGTATGTGGAATAAAATATTTTGATTTTTGGAATGTAGCATTTTGATTTTTCACGCAGGGAGTTCAACGCTGCCAGCAAACTAGCACAACCCAGCCTAATGCCTTAAAATGCACAGACATTCCACACAGGAAAAGCTCTCTACTAAAATTTAGAGGCTCACAATTCTCAGCAATGAACCCTATCATTTAATCAACACGGTGAAACAGGGGTGTCTCAAATACATCTTTAAAATGCTTCAAGCAAAACTCGTATGAACAGAATAAGTGCAGAGGGAGCCCAGCAAGTGCAACATTCACTGATGCCCATCCTGAGTGATGTTCTTGAGCTTTCACATCACTGCTGACACATCCCCAGCACACAGCACTGCCTGCTCAACGTGAACAACTGCAGAAATGGCCATGCTGGCAGGAGAAAACATTCCTGCCCTCCAACAACTTTAAAGCAAGGTCACTGTGAGCCACTGATATTACTGGTACTGATTTAATAGAGCAAAGACTATTTCTTCATTCCAAGTGATGGAAAAAAAGGCCTTGCATTTTCTCTTTTCCCAAGAACTCTTTGCAAAAAGACTCTTCAATAATTCTTTAATTTCTGTTTCTTAATTCCTTGGCAGAGTTTCACATTTCACCAGCAGATCCAACACGGTCACTATTCAAATGTAAAAGCCCAGACAAGGAGGACTTGATGATCTTAAAGGTTTTTTCCGACCTTAAAAATTCTATGAAATGCCTCAAATACATCAGTAGCATCTCAGCATTAAAATTTCCATCCTGAGACAGCCTAGACAGGTTTGCCAAAACCTTTAGGGGCGCACAATTCCTGTTTGGGTTTTTACCTGACAACCAGTCATTCAAATCTTCACTGCCCTCCATGTCTTTTTTTTTTCCCCTGTAAGAAAAGCAGACCTTAAAGTCACTGTTTTGCACACTGCAGGTTGAATTCCAGACACACAGTATCAGTCCAAGTAGTTGTGCCTTTGACAAACTGATTGTGGAAGACAAAATCAGGTCACCTGAGCAATTCTTACAGCACTTTGGACGTGATTTCACTTCTCCCTACCAGAGAGGCCGTGCTCCATCCGCTGTTTGTCATCACACATCAGTGTTCAACCAGCAAACAAGGGAAGGCATCTGGACCAGAACAACATTGTGCTGGAGGGGACCAGCAACACAGAGCCCAAACTCCAGGGCTCTCTCAAGCCACGGGGTTTGCATTAAGCCACTGATCTGTGTTCTTCTGTCACTCTGCACTCGTCCATTACACAGGCCTGAATTCACTGCAGGCAAATCTTTGCTAAGACATCTCACAA